GGGGATTTAGGAAGATAATTCTTCAAAGGATATTGGGGCTGAGCAAGTTACAGAACAAGTGATTGTTTTTGAAAATGAAGTGTTGGTTGATCAGGATGTGGATGGTGATGATAGTAAGTGTAAAGAGTCTGAGGTGGAGTTGAATGTCTCTTTGTCTCCTATTATTTCTGAAGATAATTTAGCTCATGAAATAGAAGAGAATGTTTTAATTAAAGATTCTAAAGGCAAAGCTCTTATGGCTAATGAAAATAACGATGGTGAGAAATGGTGGCCAGTGCTTTTCAACAGTGAGGATCAACAGTGAGGAAGTTTTAGAAAAGGAAGAGGACGTTCCAATTATTCAGCCTTTGAATTCCTTACCTCCTACAGATCCTAGTTTCACTTCAAAAGTTGCTTATGTCAGAAGATGTTCTAGGTTTGTGGATTATGAACCTATGACTGCTTTGGACAGAGCTACTTCAAGAGCTGGTTTGAAAAATACTGATAAAAGTTCTCATGAAACCTATGACTGCTTTGGACAGAGCTACTTCAAGAGCTGGTTTGAAAAATACTGATAAAAGTTCTCATGAAGCTTCTTCAAGTGGTTCAGGTGACAGTCCTTCTTCTTTGGGTTTTTCTTTTGTTCATACTCTATTTGATGTTTATTCTGATAAGCAATTACAAAAAATTTCTTCAAACTGTGCCATTATTCTTGAACCTCATGGGGATTTTGATCCCTTAAAAAAAGTGAGGCAAATAGAGCAGGAGAGAGCTACTTTTGAGTAGACTTTGCTTCCTTGTGTCTGAGGAGTTTGGTATTATTCCTTATGTTGGTTACATGGAATGTAAGAGGGCTTGGTTTGAGTACTAAAAGATTTGGAGTTAAAGATTTTTGTCAATTAAATAAATTTGAAATAATTTGTTTACAAGAAACAAAGTTGAGTTGTGTTGATGATAAAATTTTAAAAAGGTTGGGACGTAATTTTTTTGAGTGGGTTTATATACCCTCCATTGGTGCTTCTAGTGGGATTATGATTGGTTGGAATAGTAACAAATGGAAGAAATTACAATATTCTTTTGGTGTTTTTGTTTTGATTGTGTCCTTACAAAATAAGAGAAATGGTTTTGTTTGGAACATTTCTTCAGTATATAGTCCTCACTGTAATAGCAAGAGAACTCTATTTTGGCAGGAGCTTAGAAATATCAAATATAATTTCTTAGGACCTTGGGTTTTGGTGGAGGATTTTAATGTTACTATTAATGTCACTGAAAGAAATGGTAAAACTAATCATAGAAAAGAAATGGAAGAGTTTAAAGAGGTGATCAATGAGTTGGAATTGATTGATAGTCCTTTATATGGGAGACAATTTTCTTGGACTAATAAGAGAAGATTACCTTCTATGGCTAGACCGGATAGAGTTTTTTCAACTCTGAATGGGAAGATGTTTTTCTTTTTCCAGACAACAAGGCCTTAGTAGTCAATTATCTGATCATGCTCCAATTAGTTTTGATGGTGGGGATAATCAACAATATGTTAAAAGCTTCAGGTTTGAGAAAATTTGGTTACAATCTGAAGAGTTTAAATAATCAACAATATGTTAAAAGCTTCAGGTTTGAGAAAATTTGGTTACAATCTGAAGAGTTTAAGAAGGGTGTGCCTTTGTGGTGGAAGTGTGCGGGTTACAATCTGAAGAGTTTAAGAAGGGTGTGCCTTTGTGGTGGAAGTGTGCGCCTAAAAGCTCATCTGCTGCTAAGAATATTATTGGTAATTTGAGATTTATGAGAAAGTGCATCAATCAATGGATTCGTTCTAATTTTTATAGTGTTAAACAAAAAAGAAGGAGTTGTTGATAATCTCTTCGAATGGGAAGTTTTAGAGGAAAATAGAGATTTGGATGATGATGAATTGATTAAGAAAAATGATATATCCATTCAGTTGATTGAGATTTTGCTACAAGAGGAGCAAATGTGGAAGCAAAGATCTAAAGCACATTGGCTGAAAGAAGGAGACAATAACACTGCATATTTTTATAAAATTGCTAATGGTAGGAAAATGAATAATTTGATTGCTTCAATTACTGTTAATAATGTGATGGTTAGTTCTGAAGAAGGTATAGCTCAGATTTTTTTTCAAATCATTATAAACAGATCTTTGGTCAGAATGAGCCTTATAGATGCCAACTTGAGTGGAATAGGTTATTTTCTATGGTAGAATGGGGTCCTAATGATATTGAAATCCTTTTTTTGAGGAGGAAGTTTATAAAGCAGTATTTGATATGAATGGGGATAAATCCCCTGGACCAGATGGATTTCCTACTTTATTTTTTCAAGTTTTTTGGGATACGGTGAAAAAAGATGTTATGAAGCTTTTTGAGGAGTTTTATGAGGGCAATTTGGAGATCAATAGGCTCAATTATGCTCATATTGTGCTTATTCCAAAAAAAATATGGCTATTACAGTCAATGATTATAGACTCATCAGCCTTCTAAATGTTATATTTAAAGTGATTACCAAAGTTTTGATTAATAGATTAAATTCTAAGCTTGAATGGCTTATTGACCCTGTTTAATCTGGTTTTATCAAGAACAAATTTTTGCTTGATGGAGTGGTTACAGCTCAAGAGATTATTAATGATTGCTTTCAGAATAATAAAAATGGAGGAATTTTATTAAAATTAGATTTTGTGAAAGCATATGACATGTTGGACTGAGATTTTATTTTAGAGATTTTGAAAGCTAAAAATTTTGGTGTTAAATGGTTAAATTGGGTTAATTTGTGCTTAAGAGGGGGTATGTCTGCCATTAATATTAATGGTAAACCTGGGAGTTGGATTATGTTCAAAAGAGCTGTTCGTCAAGGAGATCTTCTTTCATCTCTTCTTTTTGTTCTAGCAGCTGATTCTTTCACCAGAATGTTGAATCTTGCAGTTGAGTCTCATCTTATTGAAGGTTTAGGCCATGTTAATATGGCTCACAAAGTTTGTTGTCTGCAATATGCAGATGATACTTTGATCTTTTGCAAAAATAAAAAAGAACAGTTGATAGTTTTAAGGTTGATTTTATACTGTTTTGAACTTGCTTCTGGATTAAAAATAAGTTTTAACAAGAGTTTTCTTATAGCTCTTGAGAATAATGATTCTTTACAACAAAGTTTGGCCACTATGTTGAATTGTAAAAGTAGGAATTTTCCCATTACTTATTGTGAGTACCTCTCCTCTGAGACCTAGAAAATTTAAAAAAAAAAGATGATTGGTCTCCTCTGATTGAGAAGATTGAGAGAATATTAGCTTTGTGGACAGGCAAAACCTTATCTAGAGGGGGTAGACTGGTTTTAGTTAACTCAGTTCTATCTTCTATGCCTATTTTTTGTTATCCTTTTTCTTATTCCTTCTTGGGTCATTGATAAAATTGATAAGATGAGAAGAAGATTTTTGTGGATTGAGTCTTTAGATCATAAGAGTTGTACACATCTGATTAAATGGGAGGAGATATGTAGACCTAAGCTTTTTGGTAGTTTGGGAGTTATAAATCTGAAAATCATGAACAAAGCCTTGTTAGGGAAATGACTTTGAAAATGGTTTGATGATAAACATGTGCTTTGGAAACAAATCAACTTTTATAAATATTTTGAAAGAAAAGATTGTACTGAATATTTTTATTCTGGTAGAGTGCATTTATCTCATTTCTCGAAAAATTTGTTTGTCAATGCTGAAAGCTTCTTATGCAGTACTCATGTGGAGGTGGGAGAAGGAAATCATACTTTATTTTGGCTTGATAAATGGTTAGGCTTATCTACTCTTGCTTCTTTATTTCCATCTCTGTTTATTACCATTTCTTTTCCGTTTGCTTCTATCTGCAGTCTGAGAAAGAAAAGAAATAATATGTGGATATGTGATATTCAGTTCAAGAGGCAATTGACTGGAAATTTGGTTTTTCAGTTTTTGAATATGTTGAATCTCATTAAGGACTTAAATTTGGAACAAAGAGAAGACAAAAGAATTTGGTTATGGGAGGCAAATGATATTTATACTGTAAAATCTTTCTATCAATTTTCTTATTGATGGAGGTTTAAGGTTTGATCGTGCAAAAATTTGAAAACTTTCCATTCATTTAAAAGTGAAAATTCTGGTTTGGTTGGCTTTACGACAAAGTTTAAATACAAAAGATATTCTGGATAAAAAAGGAATTCATTTAGAGATGACTTGTTGTTTATGCTCTAAATCAGAAGAGAGTCATACACATTTGTTTGTTGAATATGAGTTTGTATACTCAATTTGGAGATCTATACAGTTCAAATTAAAAATTGAGAAAGCTTTTAAAATTAAGTCTTTAAAGGAAGTTTGGATTAATTGGGTTGCTGGTGAGAATGATGATTGCAAGATGGAAAGAGATGTTATTATTTGTTCTGTTGTTTGGTGCATATGGCAGGAGCGTAATGATAGACTCTTTTCTATCAAGAAGAAGAGGTCTCTTGAGCTTTTGAGGAAGATTTTGACATTCTCAACCTTTTGACTAGGTTCTAAGAGTATTTCTGCTCGAGCGGCCAGGCTTCAAGAGAGAAGAAGAAAGAGGAATGAGCTATCTAGAGCTTTACAAGTTGCTGGAGCTGCATGAAGAGAGAACAGGAGCATTGGAAATTCTGTGATTCAGCTGGAATAATGATCTTTGGATGCAGTGTTTTAAATGATGTTTTGATGTTAAAAACTTTTGCTGAGTATGGAATTCACTACTATTTTAGTTTAGTAGTAGTAGGTAAGTGTTTTGAGAGATTTAATACTTTGTGCAATAGTGTGTTTTTGTTTGTTTTGTAAGTTCAGTTGAGATCTGAGTGCACATTTTTCGTTGGGGATGTGCACAATATATGTGATAACCAGTTTATGTTAATTTAGCTAGCTGGATTACTGTTATGGTAATCCATCATTTTTCTAAAAAAAAAAAAAAGAAACGGGCAAAAGCTTTGGGCTGCCAAAATGAAAACAAACCAATAATATAATGATAAGGATACCAACAAAAAGAACTTCTAGAAACGTCGTCGCCCTTCCCCATTTCCTCGCGCCCTCAGCTCCCTCTCACCTCCGATTCTGCGAACAGTCTCAGGACCCAGAATCTCAAACCCCCACCTCCTCATAAAAACCCCTTATTATTTCTCTCTCAAACCTCCACACACACACTCACTCTCTCTCTCTCTCTCTCTCTCTCTCTCTCTCTCTCAGATCGATCGATTTTCTTCAAATTTTCTGTATTTTTCTATTTTCTTTTTTTTATTTGGTTGAGACGCGATGGATGAGGATTTCGATATGCCAACGGGTGAGGAGATGATGAACGAGGACGAGATGATGGATTTCGCCGACGAGAATCCGACGATGAAGGTCGGCGATGAGAAGGAGATCGGCAAGCAGGGGCTCAAGAAGAAGCTCGTTAAGGAAGGAGAGGGCTGGGAGACTCCCGAGGTCGGCGATGAGGTCGAAGGTATAACCTCTTTTGATCTCATCGTAGATCTGCAGAAATTGAGTTTCTAGGGGTTTTTTTCTTCTTCTTTTGAAAGGATAATGTTTGTTGATTTGGGGGTTGCTTGAGGTTGCAGTGCATTACGCTGGGACTTTGCTTGATGGGACGAAGTTCGATTCTAGTCGTGATCGAGGGACGCCTTTCAAGTTCGAGCTTGGACAAGGTGAGGCTTCTGGAAACACCTTTGTGTCTTTCTCTTGATCAGTTTTGGTTTTAATTTAGGGTTATTTAGATTTAGTACCCCCAACTATTCACACGTTTCTCGATTTGATAGCATGAGGTTTTATTTTGACAATCTGATCCCCAAATGCGAAAAGCTTGGTGTCAATTTTGATCCAGGGTATCAACCTAGCAAAGTGGATGAGAAACGATTTTTAAATAAAATTTTGCCCTCTTCACTTCGGGAAAAGTAGCAAAGTATTGTCAAATTTGCATGGACTTGGCAATTTTGAGGACACTATAGTCAAAGTAGGTCTTGAGAAGAAAAAAGTCAAAAAGGTTGAAACTTTAGGGCATCAGAAGTGCAAATAAAATTTAGGGTTATTTGCACTTTGGTAACTTGAACTTTTCACATTTTTAAAATTTGATACTTTAAATTTCACACCTTGTTTTAACTTTGATGCCTCAAAGTTTCTTTGACACTTTAATACCTAAAGTTAAAGTTAACATATTTTCTTAACTTTGATATCGCAAAGTCCACACATGCTTTAACTTTGATACCTAAAAAAGTAGTAACTGCTGAATTTGATATTAACTTCTTACATGTTACAAATTTTATTATGTTTAAAGTGGAACTATGTTTTGTTATATAGTCTTACATTATCTTGATGAAAATGAGTTAGACACGTACCTTTTAAATTACTAGTGTTCCCAACTTGAATGTCTTGGAACTTTAGGGGGTGTTTGGTTCAACTTCTATAAAAAAAAATGGAAAAGAAAAAGTACCAAAAAAACTAATTTCCTTATATTTCTATAAAAAGTTATAGGAAAAGTTTATAGAACTCAGAAAGTATAACTTTTCTTGTTTCTTGCTCTTTCTTTAATCAAAACAAGAAAATGGGCCCATGACTTTATAGAAAACAGGTTGTTTTCTTTTTCTTTTGTTTGGTTGGGTATGAAAATTTCATAGAAAAGTGCAACTCATATAAGAAACTTTACAACGGCTAGTTTAACAGCTAGTATAAAACAATAATCCCCAGACTTCACAAATCAATTATTAACTATAGTTCAATTGAGCAACAACAACAATAAAAAACCAAACCCACCCCTACATACTAATTTTCAGATTGTCTTATGAAACCGAAAAATCACCTCCAGTGGATTTTTATGTTCAAGTTTAACACCATAAAGCAAATAAAAGTTCAAGAAAATCTCAAATTACACATTCAATTCATCACCATCATATCAACAACATAAAAATCCAATATTAAAAATTCAAGATAAAAGATAGTTTCGAGTTATACCTTACAGTGTTAAATCGCTGACCCGAAAAAGTTGATAAAAAACCCAATATATCCGAGCAATATTAACAACCGAAAACCCCAAAAGACCAGATCAACAACCGAAAGCCCCCAAATAGAGCATATCCAAACAAATAGAGGAGCTCTGAACAAGATAAACATAAGAAAACCCAACAAGGCTCTATCACCATAACCGAATCCATCACCAAAACCATGAACGAGTTAGGTTAAGGAGGCGGATTAAGAAGCCAGCGAAGGGAAATGGGGGTGGGAGCAACAGCGGGGCGCAAATAGCATCGGGGGAAAGAGAATTGGGGGCGGGAGCGACATCGGGCGCTACAATTTCCACGGAGAAATAGAATTGGGGGTGGGAGTGAGAATGAGAGGGTTGAGAACTCTACAACAATTTTTCCGCTAAAAAATGCCCACCGCAAAATGAGATAGGGATGGGAAATAGGGTACAGGTTAGTTATATTATTTTTTAATAGCAATTGTTAGATTTCTCACCAATTTACTCTCATTTTAAGAGGAAGTTGATTTCTATAAAATGATGTACTTTTCCCTACTTTATAGAAGACATTTCTATACAAGTTTTTGAACCAAACACAGTTATATAGAAATCTACAGAAAAGTTTTAATTACAAAATTGCCATTGTCGGGCGTTTTCTTAAAAGTTTTCTACAAAATGGGTGAACCAAACACCCTCTTAAAGTAACAATATTACTTGCTTAGGAGTATCAGTGAAACTGGTTTTAAGTAACATTTTTTTTCAGTGCCACTTCCGTGAGTACACCACTAAACTAATGTCTAAGGCAATGTTGTATTTATTCTTACCATATAGAAAAATTTATGTAACAGTGATTGTTTAAGCATTGTGTATGCCAAAATTGTGATTCCAACGTGAGTTATGGAAATTTCATATTAATTGTAGTCTTGTTTTACTGCTTAACACGCTGGTAATTATTGCTTTTATGATGCCTTGAGTAGTTTGAGTGATTTAATTCTCATATTTATTTGCATCTTGTATGTTACTGACTTACTGCAACAGAACTAGTAATGCAGACGTTAATATGTTGTTAATTGTTAGTCAAATTTTGGCTTGAATAATTTCAAATGTTAGCATAACTATATTATAATTGTATGATAACTCTTGTTTTGCTCGTGCTCCTTTTCTATCTGTTCAGGACAAGTGATAAAGGGATGGGATCAAGGTATCAAAACAATGAAGAAAGGAGAGAATGCCATCTTCACCATTCCTCCTGAACTAGCCTATGGAGAGTCTGGTTCTCCTCCCACTATCCCTCCAAATGCCACATTACAGTTCGACGTTGAACTCCTGTCATGGTCCAGTGTTAGGGACATCTGTAAGGATGGGGGTATCTTCAAGAAGATCGTGAAGGAAGGGGAGAAATGGGAAAACCCAAAGGACCCTGATGAAGTTTTTGGTATGGTGTAGTTCCTTTTGTCCCATTCTTCGTTATCTGTTTGTTGACGTGAACTGAAGTTCCTATATTACTTGCAGTGAAATATGAGGCTCGACTTGAGGATGGCACAGTGGTATCCAAGTCAGATGGAGTTGAATTCACTGTAAAAGATGGTTGGCATCAGTTTATGAAAATCATATTTATCTTGGTTAGGTATGTATTAAGTTTTGACTTTCTAACAAATATATATTACAGGTTACTTCTGTCCTGCACTAGCAAAAGCAGTGAAGACAATGAAGAAGAGTGAAAAGGTTCTTCTTACTGTGAAACCACAATGTCAGTAATCTTCTTAATGTCGAGTGATCGTTTTTTTTTTGTTTCATTGTGTCATCTGATTTCCTTTGTCAAACAGATGGATTTGGTGAGAAAGGCAGGCCAGCTTCAGGCGAGGAAGGTGCTGTGCCTCTGAACGCAACTCTAAATATAGAACTTGAGCTGGTCTCTTGGAAGACTGTTACAGAGGTCGGTGATGACAAGAAGATCCTGAAGAAGATCCTCAAGGAAGGGGAGGGCTATGAAAAGCCAAATGATGGCGCAGTTGTTAAAGGTTAGTCTTATCCAACACTATCTAATGTATTTATCTTCAGCAATAGTTTCTTAATTTGTTGATGCTCTGTATCAGTGAAATTAACCGGAAAACTGCAAGATGGGACTGTCTTTGTTGAGAAGGGTCATGATGAAGAGTTTTTTGAGTGGAAGACAGATGAGGGTGAGCTTCATACTTCCCAACTTTCCAAAATACTGAATGTTTGTGGCTTGATATATCACACGCATGAATTATATGTTTTCTAGAACAAGTGATTGAGGGACTTGATCGGGCTGTGATGACTATGAAGAAGGGAGAAGTTGCCTTGGTGACAATTCCACCAGAGCATGCTTTCTCTTCTACCGAATCAAAACAGGACTTTGCTGTAGTTCCTCCGAACTCAACTGTCATATATGAAGTTGAGCTCATATCCTTTGTGAAGGTATGTCTTTGTTTTTGAGCTTCTGTTGTCTGTTGAGTTCTTTATCCTATATTATCAATCAAAGCTTACTAATCTTTTGTTATCTCTTTCCTATTTTCAGGAAAAGGAGTCATGGGACATGAACACGGCAGAGAAGCTTGAAGGAGCTGGTAAGAAAAAAGAAGAAGGGAATACACTGTTCAAGTTGGGTAAATATGCAAGGGCCTTCAAGAGATATGAGAAGGTAAATATTGTGGCTAGAATTATTGCTTGCTCCCCTAAGCACTAACTTGTATGATTTCTATCTGCTGTTCTGTGGTTTAACTTGATTCTTTTTTCTTGCTTTTCCAAATTTTAGGGTGCCAAGTTAATAGAGTACGACAGCTCATTTAGTGAGGAGGAAAAGAAACAGTCAAAGGCGTTAAAGGTATCTATCAACCTCAACAGTGCAGCTTGTAAGTTGAAGCTGAAAGACTACAAGCAAGCAGAGAAGCTATGCACCAAGGTAATTATCTTGTTTCATTAATTTGCTGTATCTCATGTAGGCCACATTGTTTAAGTCATTGGAAAAATAGCTCATGAAATTCTGCCAAAGTCGACAATCATGGCAATTCACTTTCCACTTTTGATATGCACATTTTTACTGCAAACTCTACAAACAAATATCCAATGGTAGCAAACGGCTCGGATCAATTACACATGTACAAGCTTGACCTGATCCTGGCTTGCTTACTATACAGATCAGTATATCTACCACTATCCATTTTGTATTTTTGTGGGTTATCCCTGTTCGACCCTGGTGATCTGTTTAATGGCATTTAATCCAAATATGTTGGAGCTAGAGAGGCTCTAATTTTGACATTGGAGATGCATTGTGTATTTGGAGCTCTCATCTCGAGTGATGGTTTCTCCCGGTGTAGTAAAAAATAAAAGATAACAAAGGTCATTGTTAGTTATACGTCCACAAGAGATTTGCAAAGTGCTACTACAAAGTGAATATTACACTGCAATTCCTTACAATTCTAAGCAATTCGGACCATCATGCAAACGAACACATCATGTTGCAGAGGTTAATTATCAAAGCAGCACTTTCTTTCAAGCCTCAATATTTTTTGCACTCGCTGCATGAAAATAATATTTCAAGCCTCAAAATTTTGTTCTGAACAATTTCAATTTTGAAAAGAAGTGCTTAAGTCATCTGTGGAATAATAATTGGGGAAAAAATCATTAAAGAATTGATTTTTCATCCCATTGAGTTAATTAGAAAATCCAAATGAACCGATCAAGTTATCACTTACATTGCTATCATTCTTCTTGATTGTTGCCAACGTTGCTCGCTTCTTGGTCATCATTGTTGTGGAAATCTCTGTGGATCTGCTGCCATTGCTCCCTCTCTTTGTTGGGTTTTGAAGAAGACAACTCTCTATACAGGGGGACCTTTTTTTTGATAAAACGCTAAAGATTCCAACACTCTTACAAGAACACCTCACTTTCACGCAACTCTCTTATTTTTGTGGACACTCATACAAGTCTACATTACTCACTCAAGCTCAGTTCTTGCCTTGGCTGATGGCTTGGTTGCTTCATATGCATCCTCGCCGCACCCATTTACAGAGCTGAAAATGTAGGTGGGAAAATTCTCCAGAATCTATAACAAAACCCCTACAATTGGAAGTTTCTAGAACAATTTTCTATAACCTATCTAGAACCTTTCTTAGCTTTCTAGACTATCCACCATAGGACCTTCTCTTTGGCATGATAACTATAGAATTCTCTAGAATTTATGACTCTAGAAAAGTTGTTGATGACTTTTTCCTATTTCTCTTCTTACATTGCACAGCCTTAATTTAGTGATAATTTGCAAAGTTTGAGGAATCAATTTGAATGGGTAATAATCGGTATTTGGAGTGATCTGTGTCAACCCATGTCCAACCACTGTATGGCCGTCCCTGTTATCCGACCAGAGGGCTTTATCTGTTAACGTGTTATGTTATATGGGTACTTCTATCATGGAGCTGTAGCTATAACCATACCTATACCCGATAGGTACCGGGCACAAATACTCTTTGGACACTTTTTGAATATACGATTACATTTGTACGCACATGTACTCTGTTGTGTAATATGTGTTTGAATTTGAAACATTCATCATACTCTTCTTGGACCCATCCTACTTTTCACATCCACTTTTTGGAACTTGTACACAGGAATTAGGTTCATTTCAGCCATACCTCATATGAAATATGATTTTAAAGGATTATTTGGGTACCTACTTAGAAAACAACCCACATACCCTATACATTACAAATTTGTCGTGTCTCGCACCCGCACCTGTATCTGTACTTGTTTCAATGCCAACATCGGCATTTGGGTCTCTGCCCTTAGAAACATCTCAATCAAATTCCGGTTTTATCTTGTCCCATCCTATGTTTTTTTAAATATCTTATGTTGAATGGGCATGTTCACTGACATACATACCTGAGTATGTGACATGATAAACTCGCACATGACAAATTCTACCAGATGACAAAAGATACCTGTTTTTATTTTTTCAATGTTTCTAGCATGAGTCCATTCTGAACTGATTCCATTATTCGACAGAAACTTAACAACGTGCTGAAATAGGCCTAGTCTGGGCGTTTTGTTTTTTGAGTCCAGCTGGTCTTTGATTGTCCTTTTCTTCCGAGTCGCTGCATTTCTTATGTTTTGATTTTCTTCCACTAGTTAGCTTTTTCGTTGTTGGATAGTGCTATTTATGGTTGGAAGTAGAGCTTACCCTGCTGATATTTGTAGGTGTTGGAGTTGGAAAGCAGAAATGTGAAGGCCTTATATAGGAGAGCACAAGCATACATTAATCTTGCTGATCTTGATTTGGCAGAGCTTGATATCAAGAAAGCCCTTGAAATTGATCCAGATAACAGGTGTGTTAACTGGTGAAATATTGTTCTGCGGTCCTTGGTTGCTTTTGATATGTTCACAAAATTAATGGTTTTGCCGCGTATTGATTGATTCAGGGATGTGAAGTTGGAATATAAGACCCTGAAGGAAAAGATGAAGGAATATAACAAGAAAGAGGCGAAATTTTACGGCAACATGTTTGCCAAAATGAGCAAACTAGGACACGTGGGATCTAATGTAAGGATTGTGATCTCTTTAATATGTCAATTCTTTCTTTGGTGGCCTTATACACTGTCCTTACTGTTAGCACTTGATTATCTACTCTTGCAGAAAGCTGGAGCAACAAAGCCAGATGCAGAGCCCTTGAATGTTGACAGCGCGGCTTAATTTTTTTTAATTAAAAAAAAAAACTTTTTGAGAATGGTAGGATTTGGGAGCCTGTCCCTGAGCGGCAACAATTTAATGATAGCGTAGAAAACAACCGGTGTAGGGTGAAACTTTTCCTGTGTCACTTCTCAGTTCGTAGTAATATTTGTCAATACAAGACCGTTTGGTCAATCTTTGGATGTTGATCTTGTTTTGGCGATTTGTTTACTAATGTAGTTAAACTTGTCATCCTGTTTGTACTATGAGTTTCGGATATTACTGTTGTGACGACAGGCAGTTTTATTAATAGTGGTATCCCAGGTGAGGCTCCTCGTCGCGATTTTTACGTGTGGTCCGAGTTCGCCTCAATAGTTGCATAACTGCTAAGCCAATTGAGTTCTCTCGCCTCTTGAGAGTAGGGGTGGTATACCTGTTCATTGATTTGTTGGTTAGTTAGTTCATTGATTAACCGGTTAATTACAAGTGAGTTTTATTTCTAAATTAGGGTTAATCGTATTCCGTGAGGCGGGTAACCGCGATGGCTGTATTTTGAAGCTGTTGGATACTTTTTTAGGCGGCTGACAGGATTATGGTTTAGTCTTCGACTCTGTTTGAGGTTAAGTGCTAATTTAGCCTTCGACCTTTTGCCATCAACCTTTGTAATGGGGTTGTTTGGCAACAGATTGATGGGTTAAGGAAACTTAAAGCCTCTCTTAACCTGCTGAAGCCAAGACATCAGGTTTAAACTTTAAAGTAAATTAACCATCCATAATATATCAAAAATGGAAAATGCAAAAGGATTAATATAATTCCTCTAGAAGGGTTAAAACGAGTCCACCCTTCAAAAAAAAGGGGCTACTGCTATTCCTGTTTAGACAGGTTAAAAATTAACTACTCTATTTGTAAAGAAAATAGTCAAAATGTACATTACTTGCGACCACTAGAGATGATCGTAGGAGTTAAAGCTAAATCTTACTTAACTGATTAACAATTTAACTCTCAAGATTATTGAATGGGATCACCATATTAACCCTTCATGTCAATCTCTCTTAAACCTCTGCCCGATGGAGCTGTTATGTTTTGATTTTCCAAAATAGCAAGTAAATATAGTAATCTTCGTTTCATATTTGCTTAGGATTTTCAAGTACAAAATTTCACATGAAAACACATGCATGGACATAGGATGCTCATCTGATCACACTTCAAATTTCCTTCCAGTTACAGCTTACGCTGCTTACCACATAATTTAGTTCTTCAGATTATCGAATGTGCTAAGTACATTAATCCTTCTTTTTAACCCTTCTTCCTTAACCCTTTGGTAAGGGCCTGTTTGTTTGCACGGAAGTAGCAAAGAAGTAACTGAAGTAGAGGAAGTTTCTCCTATTTCAAGCAAAAAATTATGTTTGTTTCTCCGAAAAGACTACTTCAGCTACTTCCATAAATGCAGATGTGGCGTCTAGGTGGCACTCCTACTTCCTAGATTTTTTTCTGCCCTTGAAAGCTCAGAAATAGTGGGAAAGTTGATAAAAAGTGGGGTCCACTTAAATTAGATGATCTTAAATGATATTAAATTATAACTCAGATAATGAACAGGGTTTTACAACCGAAGGTATATACGTGCAGGTAATTCACGATGGACAATTTATGCACTGGACGAAAAACCCTCATTATCATAAAATATATGTTTGAAATTTCCTGTGACCATCACCCCCAAAATCTCCAAATTCTAAATCTATTACCTCTTCAAACAAAACCTAAATACAAGGCCATCGCTGAATTACAAGGCCAACCTCTATAATTAATCAGCCAAACAAAAAGTAAAAAAAATTAAAAATTTAAAATAAATTCAAGCTAAACTCAGTCACAATTTGATGCAAGGAATTTGATAAAGGTGACACATCAAATCAACCCAACATGTCATTGTGTCATACACAATCATGTTGATCAAATCAAGTTTAAGAAAAATCGTTCCTTTTGACCAGTTTCTTAATGTTCACCGATTTGGTTAAATTTAATAAGAGATTTTCCTCAAATGACTAATTTTTTGACCAGTTTCTTAATGTTCACCGATTTGGTTAAATTTAATAAGAGATTTTCCTCAAATGACTAATTCAATTTTCAGGATAATGTTCACCGATTTGGTTAAATTTAATAAGAGATTTTCCTCAAATGACTAATTCAATTTTCAGGAGTAAGTTTAGTACTCAGTATCTGTAATATTAAGTATATTTGCAATATCACGAGGTTTCAATTGGAACGCTCAATTTGAACCCAACAACAATTTTATTTCTATTTAAATGACAATCTAAAACAAGAATAAAATGGAACCAACATGTATTAATTAGTTTATAGTAATGTTTTCAAATATTATCCAAACAAAAAAAAGTAAATGAATAGGAAGAAGTTCTACTTCCATTACTTCTAAAAATATACGAAACAAACAAAAAAAATACTATTTCCGCTACTTCCTATTTCATAATTTTGAAAGTTACTTCTGTAACCTACTTCTTATTTCCAGTACTTCCACTATCCAAACGGGCCCTAAGTGAGATAATTGTTCCAATAGAACAATTTTATCCATATAGAATATTTTAGGCTAAAATACCAAATTGACCTCAATAGTGCCACTTTTTTATCACTTTGGCCTAAAAAGTGATACCGACGATAATTTAACCTAAAAAATAACAAATCAGCGACAAATAAACTTTTCTGGTCACCAGAAGTAATTTTTAAGCAAGAAAATTAAGAGATTATTATTTATACCCTTCAAATTTTTCATATTTTCCGATCTAAAATTTGTAAAAAGAACTCCTCTCTCCCTCCCTTCCCACCATCTTTTCCCTCATCCTTCTTGTCATCTCTTTCATTCTTTTCTTTTCTCAATCGTCACCATTCTCTCTTCTTTCTTTCACATATCCTCACTTTTAAGGATATTGATTTTTTAATGATTGGAGGAAGAAAGAGGAGCGGGAAGCAAGCAGGAAGAGAGAGTGCAAGAAAAGAAGAGAAGAATGAGGTTAAGAATGTGACGGAATGTTTCATTTTGGGTGTTGGGAGTGGGTGAAGCAAGTAGGAAGAGAGAGTGAGACACAGGAAGAGGAGAAGAAAGAAGATGGAATGAGAGAGAGAGGATGAGATGTTGGGGATTTGGAGTAAAAGAGATTGGAGGAGATGAAGAAACTTAGAAAGTAAGTGTGATGATCCATGAAATAAGGTGGGAGAGGGAGTGAGGGAGGAGAGAAGGTTAGAGTATAGGAAGAATAAGGGAATTGATAAGATGGTGGGAAGGAGGAGAAAAAAGATAGTGGAAAAAGAGGTTTTTTTTATTACAAATTTTAGAAATTTAGGAAAAGGAGATAGGTTAATTCAAAAATCATGAGAGATTGAGTGGTCTATATATAAAATTTCTTTAATTTTTTGCTAAAAAATAACTCCAACAATCAGAAAAGTCTATTTGTCATCAATTTGTCACTTTTTAGGTCAAATTGTCGCCGATGTAAGTTTTTAGGCCAAAGTGGTAAATGTGTGTCCCTATTTAGGCCAATTTGGTATTTTAGTCAGATATTTTATGTGGGGTAAAGTGGAACAAATTGGGGTAATGAGATAATTTAAAGCTTTGATTTGGCAATAACTAAGTCTAAAATAATTTATTCAAATGGTTTAGTATATTATTTAGTATGTTATTATAGCATAATACATTATTTTACTTTATACTAAAATATACTATGTTATATTATAATTACTAATTAATTGTAACTATGTTTAATGTTATTAATTAGTAGATTATATTGTATTATATTATATTATAATAATATGACATATTATATAATAATTGAGATAATACATGAACAATATATTTATTTAAATATTTCAATAATATAATATTTAATTTAACATAAATATAACTAGTATTATATTTTTATTTTAGTCAATATAATATCATTTAAATATTATATTATTATTAAAATATTATATTATATTTATGATAATTACTATACTTTAAATGGAATAATTAATGATGTTATAACCCCTAAATTACTAAATATTAATCTCCATAGAGAAGTCAACACGTGTCTTGCACCATGCCTAACCTGACTAATTCAAACCCAAGATAACATTCGCCTGCGTAACCGAGTTAAAAGGCAGTACTACTCGGCCAACCTCTCAATTGACTCTACAAGAGAGCCGACTCAGCCCACTGTTCAGCCAACATCTCGCATAACCAAGTCAAAAGGGGTACTACTTGGCCAACCCCTCAATTGACTCCACAAGCGATTCGACTCGGCCCATTGTTCAGTTGAATCTCGCGTAACCGAGTCAAAAGGTGGTACTTCTCGACCCTGGACCTAATAAGTTGAACGACAACAACTACCTCAAACCCCTTGCCAGCCAATTACTCTCGCATTAACTATCTCTAACAACATCATCATTACTCTAGTCCCTATAGTCTTTATGACTCATCGGACCCAGTCGACACCAAGCACCTGTTATCATTCCCACAATAAATGACCAGGTGACTCACCTCCTTTAGCAAGCGACACATGGCACATGTCTGTCGACCCAACTGCCTAATTGGACTCGGCTCAAGTTACCTTCTTGCCCATCAAACCTACTATAAAAGGAGAGACACTGCATGAGGTAACTCGCTATGGCATTTTTCACGTAATGAAGAACTAACTCTATACTTCCCACTCAAGATCACATACTGACTTGATTGTTGGAGAAACAACCATAGAATCCTACTCTGCCCTCTTACGAGTTCTTTCATGTGCATGGAAGAGCAACAAGCCCCAGAACCACTCATCAGAAGGAGTTAGAGGACCCTAATCACTCCACAAACTCTCAAATAATATCCTATTTGATAACTGACATCAATAGATGACATGTCTCCTTATTAAAATATAATATTTATAATAACAGTAATATACTATTAATATGTTTAATATTATTAATTAAAAATATTTTTAATTAATATATTATATTATATTAATTTTATATTATAATATCATACTTTAATATTCTATAGTAAATTATTACTATCTTTATTGTAATAATAAAATATTATTTAATAGGGTTTTTCAATATCGGTCCCTAAGGGGATAGGAATTTGATATTAGTCCTTCAAATCTTTATATTTTGATATTAGTCTCTTAAATACAATTTAGTTGTTGATAATGGTCCTTCTGTTAACTTACAGTTTAAAATGGTAAACTATGACTAGTTGACAGCAACCCTAGGCAATTACATAACTACCCCCACTCATTTAGTTATGCTACCAAACCAGTCTCTCCCC